AGGTGGGGGCAGAGCCAGAGCCGGAGACCATCCCCCATCAGTGGTCCCATGCCACATCCCCTCAGTCATCAAACCACCACAGGAGGGGTTCATAACTGCATTGGGGAAGTCAACGGACCCCTGTGCTCTCTCTTTTTTTAGGTAAACTCTCTTCCCAATGTGGGGCTTGAACTCACAACCCTGAGATGGAGACTCCTGTTCTCTACTGAGGAGCCAGCCAGGAGCCTCCACCCGCACCGCCCCCCCGCCCTTCTTTTTTTACCCTTCCCAGATGGATCTTTCAAATGCATTAAATAAAACACATTTGTACTGAAACACAGCTATCAAAATGTTACAAGATACGAAGTGGCCCTGAGACTACTGTAATTTCAAAGTAGTGATGAACCAAAGTGATATATTTTGAGGTTTCTGCAAACCACTCTAACATGATATGAAAATATTTGTGGTTTTTCTTGATGACAAAGTCAGATTCTCTTCATACTATTGTGGCACATTGCCTAGAGACCTGCTAATGAGAAGAAATGCTAAATTTCAGTTCAAAGATGACTAAAAATAACTCCACTTGGTTTTCCCCTCTAACTGCACAGATCCTGACTCCCTAACCCCCATCCCGTCCCAGCTCAGGCTCAGGCCGTGCTCTAGTCTCGTGGGACTGTGGCCCCCTCCTCCAGAGGGGTGGTCATGGGTCAGTGCGGTCATCACCTGCCCCCCCACCCCAGCCCGGTGCCCTGTGAGGACCTGACCTAAGTCTCTTAACTGTTTCCTTAACGCTGTAAGACGGGCTTCGCGGGGAGCCCTTCCCGGAAGCAGACCCACTTCTCCCTCAGGCTGTGTCACGGTCTCAGGATCAGTGCGGGGCCGGGGCTGCAGTGCTCCTTCTGCCTTTCAGACCCCTTCTACTGGATCAACCCCGGCGTGCTGGTCCTTCTCGCCGTGCTCCCGGTGCTGCTGCTGCAGATCGCCACGGGCCTCGTCTACCTCTGCCTGCAGCACAGACTGAGAGGTAAGGGCTGGAGGGCGGACCGCCGCCCCCCACCCCCGGGAACACGCTCGGAGCTGGGCTGCCTGGTGCTGAGTTCCGAGGGGCATCGGGTCAAAGCTGCGGAAGCCGAACTTACACCTTGCCGCGCGCTTTCACTTCTGCAACGGGTCCCCGCGTTCTCTGCGCGGCGGGGCCGACCTGCAACAGCCCCGTTTCACCGCGGGCCTCCCCTCGGGGCGGGCGAGGGTCAGCATTTCCGCGAGCGGACACACCTGCCAGGGGCGGGGCGCGGGGCTGTCCCCGCGGCCTCGGGACCGCACCTGGCCGCTTCACGCCGCGCGAGAGTGAGCGCAGGGCGTCGTCCTACCCCTTCTCTCCCAGCTGTTCCGAGCCACGGCTCCCGGGCCCTGAGGGTCTTCTCTCCCCCGCCCCCCGCCCGGTCCTGAGAGCAGAAACCACAGGGAGCGCTGGGGTGTGCGAGCTGGCGTCGGGGTCCTCCCCGCCTTGAACCGGCCCCGGGTCCCGGCGCAGTACTCCGCCCGCGGGAGAAAGGCTGTCAGTCCCCCTGGCTGAGGGGAGGGGACGCGGGACGGTTGGAACCCCCGTCTCGCGGGGGCAGCTCGCTCCCCGCCGTCGGGGAGGGGGTGTTGTTACGTCCCGAGTCTCTGCAGCCCCGTCTCCTCCCGCATCCCCACGTTCGCGGCTTTACAGGTACTAAGTGCAGCCCAGTGGGGGGGGGGGGGACAAGGGAACGGAGACTCTGAGGCGGAGGCACAGAGCGGCCGCAGTTCAGGTGAGGGCACCTGAAGCAGGTCGGGGCACTGCTGCCCGCCCCCCACCCCGGCTCCCTGCGTTCTGCATTCCTGTGCTTCCGGCCACCCGCAGCTCGGAGCCTGTGCTCCTCCGTCCACCCGCTGCCTGCTCAAGGCGCGGGCTCTGCAGTCCACCCCGCTGCCTGCGCAAGGCCCGGGGCGCCGGCTGTGGGAGGGACCCCATCACCGGCCAGGGCTGGACTAACAGTGTTGCCTTTCTCTACTATAGGAAAGCTTCGAGCGGAGATCGGTGAGTTTCCGTCGCCCTCCCTCCGCGTTCCCTGCCTCCCCTTCGGCATCTCCGACACGGTTCTCGGTCATGACCGTCTCCGCCTGTGTCCCCACGCCCCGCGCTTCCTTCCGACGGAACTCCGCTAGTATTTCGGACCCCGCGGCCAGCCAGGAGCTGTGGCCAGACTCCTTCCTCTGCCGCAGCCGCATCCGGGGCAGAGTCCAGCAGCTCCCCTTCCTCCACGGTCCCTCACTCCTGAGTTTTCAATGACCCAATCGCAGAGGCTCCAAGGGGAAGGGGTCTCCTCCGAGTGCCCCACTGAGTCCCTCCCTGTGTTCCCTTTCAGAGAACCTGCACAGGACCTTTGGTAAGTGCTAGGACCCGGTCAGTCCGGTGTCCGTGGGACCCAGTCAGCAGGGAAATAAGAACCCTCGCTCCCAGTTGGCCTCCTGCCTCTTCCCTTCCTTTTTCCTTTTTGAATAAGTCACAGTGAGATGTTGCCAGCAAGCACTCCTGTGACGCCTCTCTGTGCCAGGCACTGTACCGGTAGCCAGGCCAGTCGACCCCAGCAGCAAGGAGACCAAGGTGTCTGTGTGCAGAGATTATGGAGGGGAGGTACCCAGGCCCTCCCAGGCATGCTGGCCATCCAGTTGGGGACATGACACCAATGTCTTGGAGGACCGACTACTTATGCATCACTGATGAAACCCACATGGTAGAAGTGTCCTCAGGAGCACAGAACAAGTGACTCTACGGGACTGATCAGGGAAGGCTTCCTGGAGGAAGACACACCAAGCCCCTTTACAACGTTGGCCCTTCAAGACTACAATCCCTGTCCTTTTTGTTCACTGCAGAGTCCCCAATGCTGAAGGACAATGCCTGCAACAGAGGGGCACCCACATCCCCGCTGGATGGATGTTGCAGAAATTCTAAGATGCCTTAACGCAGAGCACAGAGGGTCGGTCGCTGCCCTGAGCAGCCTTCCTGAACAGGGGGCACCCCCCCCCCTAGCGCTTAGGACTCCCATCAGCGTGCAGAGCACACACCCCGCAAAGGGAGGAAAGTGATCTCTATTTGGTGGATTCAAAGCGAAGGCACCATCTTTCGGTACCATGAATCTCCTGGGCATTCTGGTGAAACCTAATGGACCCTTCTCCAGAATAATGTTTTTAAAAGGGTCACAGATAACACGTACAGTTGCTGAAAAAACCACTGAAGTACAGGCATCAAAATATAAACCCATTTGTCATATAGTGACAAATGCTTCTTTAAACAACAAAAACGCACTAAATAACAACGTAGCAGCAGGTCCAATAATTTTGTCCAAATATTAATAGATATTTGCAGATTTCAGCAACAACTCCAGTGGGAATGAAAGTTTATCTGTGGTGTCTGTTGGTAATAGGGTCATAGGTACTGCTGACGACTGGTTTGTGGCCTCCATTTTTAATGGAAGAAATGCTAAATTCAATTAAAGGTTGGTGAGAACCGGGATCCGGCACCGTTGTCACCGGAGTTCCCCAGATGCCTGAACTCTGCACAGAGCTGTGTGTTCTTGGGCCCGTTAAGCCGGTTAAGAAGCCCAACAATACGCAGACTGGGGGGAGGGGGCAGGGGACACCCTCTAACCCAGTTTGTTCTGTGGCCACGGCTCAGACCCCCACTTCCTGAGGGTGCCCTGCTGGAAGATAACCCTGTTTGTGCTGGTGCCAGTGCTCGGACCCCTGCTGGCCTTGGTCATCTGCTACAACTGGCTGCACCGGCGACTTGCAGGTGTGGGGGCGGGGGGGCGGTGTGGGGACGGACTCTGGGTGGTGAGAGATGAGGTTCCTTCCTCCTCCGTCCCCAAGGCCAACTCCAGGGTCCTTGGAGAACCCCTCGCTGAGCTTCGTGGGGCCGCTACAGATCAGGAGCAGGGTGGGGGGCTGCATGGGGAGGGGGCTGGTCATCTTCCACCAGTCATGGATTTTTTTTTTTTCCAGGGCAGTTTCTTGAGGAGCTAAGTAAGTTTTCTTCTCCCTTTATAAGCTGAGAAGGGAACACCAGGAAGGCAGGAAGGAGGGGGGGTTGTGGTCAGGGTGGCTGTCCCTCCTCATCCCTGCCACCTGCAGGGCCTTACCTCCTGCCGGCCAGAGGACTTGCGGAGGGCCTAGAGGCGAGGGGATTCCTGGGGGCCTTTCCTCTCCGTGGATCAAGGCTTGGTATACACAGATATGTCAGGGTGTTTCCTCTTCCTTCCAGGAAACCCCTTCTGAGAGATGCCGCATCCTGGCCAGCATGGAGGGCAGCCTGGTCGGCCCTCGCGTGGGCTCTCAGGGTGTGGCATCCGCTCGCCGCACACTCACTGACCTCCTCGCCACAGGGACATCCAATCTGCATTTCCAGGAAGGCTGAGTCCTCTTCTCCCATCCACCTTTCCTCCCCCACCCCATCTGGCTGCCCACCCCGGCCACTCTCCTCGCCCTCCATCTGGAAGCCGCCTCTGGCTGTGGCCAAGCAGGCACTCCTCCCTCCGACAGAGGACACCTGTGCTGCTCAGTAACACAGGCAGGACTGAGACCAGCCGCCTCCCGGCCGCTGATTCCTGTCTGCCAACATCGCCGATGGTGGTTGTTTCTTCCCCAGCGTCAATCCTGAGGGGCAGAGCTGAGGGGTGTGGAGGCTGCGGTGGGGGGGGGGACCCTGGAGCCCCCTCATCTGCCCCCACCCCCGCCCCGCGTGCAGCAGCAAGGGCAGCATCCGAACACCAGCCTGGATTTCCCATCTTGCATGGATGGGACCCCTGACCCCCCCACACCTCCTTTCACTCCCATCTTATCCCTATCACAGCCACCACTGTCTTCTCAACAATTACCACTTGACGGTCTATCAGACACAAAGAAAATGGCAGGTGCTAATTAACAGTAACAGGAGTTTCCGTGTGCCACTTCTCATCCCGTCTTTTCAGCATTTCCCTTGTCACTCCTCCCCTCTCCTCGTGCGGGGCCCCCTGACCCTGCAGGCGCATCAGTAGGAGAAACAAGCAGACCTCGGTCAGCGAGGCCCGGGCTCATCTGCTCTCCCCACTCTGGTGTCCCCTCCCCACCCTTCGCGCCCTCTCCTGGGAGCCCGAGTCCCGGGGCAAGTCCATCTCCTTCCCTGACAAAGGGGGGGCATCATGAAAGAAGCTAAGCCACTGGCCCAGGATGGCCCAGCACACCTGAAGGTTGCCCAGACACAGGTCCCAGCTTTTGGAGTTCCCCCAGTGACCCAGGAGGCTGTCCCTGTCCCCAAAGCAGACATCACACACTGGGCAACGGTAGGTCTTCTGCCTCCAGTGTGTCTGCTGGTGTCTGACCAGCGCCAATGACGAGCTAAAGGACTTGCCACAGCGGAAGCAGCTGCGGGGCTGCCCTGACACATGGGCCTGCTGGTGGCTGGAGAGACATGCTTTCTTGCCGAAAGTCAAAGGACAATGGGGGCAAGAGAACACCTTGAGTCTTGAGGGCTTTGCTGGGGGGCCGTGGGGCCTGGGGTCCAGGCAGGGGGCTCTCGGGCTGGGCGTGTGCACCCTGGTCCCAGGCCCCGGGGCTGCACTGGCTGCTGCCCACAGTCTCACAGCAGTCACGGGCTTCCTGTCAACCCCTGGCTGCATCTTGGCCACAGGACCCTGGGTTCCAGTCGTGGCTTCTCGGGCCCTGGCCACCAGGGCGTGAGTCACAGCCACAAGCTCCTGGCCGGACCCCTGGTTCTCGTCGGTGCACTCCTGAGCTCCGGTGCCTGGGATGGTCCCGATGGGCTTCTGATCTCCGGCCACCCGATCCTGGTTCTGGTGTGTCTTCTGGTGGCGTCTGAGCTCTGACCGGTCCCGGAAGCACTTCCCACAGCAGGGGCAGGAATGGGGCCGGTAACCCAGATGGACGCGGCGGTGGCGACTCAGCCCCGATGCGTCGCAGTAGGTCTTGTCACAGAGTGGGCAGCAGAAGGGCCTGTCCCCGAGGTGGGTGCGCCTGTGGTAGCCGAGCTCCCTCGGGTTTCGGAAGCACTTCCCACACTGGCCGCAGCTGCTGGTTGTGTGGGGACTGTGCACGAACTGGTGGCTGAGCAGGCTGGCGCGCTTGCTGAAACTCCGGCCACACAGCTGGCACTGGAAGGGCGGCCCGGCCTGGGGTGCAGGCAGTTCGGGAGTCCTAGGTGCGGACGCCGGGGCCACGGAGGCTGGGCCTGTCCCTCCACAGGCCAGGGCCTCCTTGTCGTCTGGTGGCCTCTGCGTCTCTTCCTCAAGTGCCTTCTTCCCACTGCCTGCGGTGGAGGAGGGACAGGGACTTGCCACATCAGCGCCGTCCCCCCAGCGCCCATTTGCGCCTCCCCCAACACGCTGGCTCTCCCTAGAGCACCTCACCAGTGGCAGGCAGGACAGACCTCCGTGGTTCCCAGTTAAAAGTTAATCAACATTTAATGTGGAAAGTCTCAGCGAGAGCGGAGACAACTTTGCCCTATAACCCCATTTCTTGAAATCCATTTCCTCTCATTTTCAGTATCTCCCGCTCCCGTGACACCCACAGGGGACCTCCTAGGTCATACAAATGGGGACACCTAAGGGAAGGGCAGTGCCTTAAATCACGCGGCTAGAACGGGAAGTGGTGCCCGTGGTCAGCCCCACCGGAAACCTCTCTCCTTCCTGTTCCAGCTCAGGAACAGGTCTCTACTGGGGCTCAGCATAAGCTCATGTCCCTTCCTCTTCCATTCTCCTGAAGGGGACATAGGCAACCTAGAGGCACCCCAATCCCTGCGGTTGCAGACATCGGCTTGTCCTCAACAATTACACATTCCCACAGGGCCAAGGGACGCGAGCACGGGGCTTCAAGCCCTCCTGTGGCTCCAAGTGGGCCCAGTGTGAAGGATGCGGGCTGGGTGAGGACGTGCTCGGCCCCGGGGCTCCGAGGCAGCCTTCTACCCGCCCAGGGCCTGACCTGGGCCCTCGCCTGCCCCCCTCCTTGGCCATGCTTACCTGAAGGGAGGCCTTCTCCACTTGGGGGACGGAGCGGGAGCTCGGCTCTCCACTGCTTTTCTTCTTGCTCAAGCTTGATGATCAGATCTGGGGTAGACAGAAAGATTCTGATGGGAGCGGAAAGGAGACAGAGTGAGATCCCAGGCTTGGCTACCTTCTCCCACAGCCTTGTTTTAAGGACTTAACGTGGGACACTCGGGAGCAGGGAGGAACCCTCCTAACGGACTCCCTGGCTCCCGGTCGGGGCAGTGCAGTGAGCACTGCTGCGTGAAGAGGTACAATTTCAATGTATCCTCACGTGCCAAGTATTATCTTTGCCTTTGTGCGGGCTTACATTTCTTCTCCTTTTACCCTGAGCTTAGTGACCTAGATCCTTCACAGCTGGAAGGCAGAGGAGGTACAGGGTCAGGAAAGCGAGCTGTGAGCCAATCTACCTGCTCAGGGAAGCCGGCCGTCCCAGGGTCCTGGGGAGTGTCCTGGGCAGGGGGCATGCTGAGGGAACCCCGGCCTCTTACCCACGGACAGCAGGTTTCTGAAGGTCTCGGCCATGACGTTCTGGTACAGGAGCCTCTGACTGGTGTCTAGACACACCCACTCTTCCTGCGTGAAATTCACAGCCACATCGTCAAAGGTGACTGGCTCCTGGGAGAGCAGGGGGGACTCGGAGTTATCCAAGCACAAGGTTTAGAAAACCGACTTAAAAATAACACCACGGAAGGAGGGAAGGAACAGAAAAGGACAGGCACAAAGCCAGGGACATTATCTACAAAAAGGAGAGGAAGGAAGACAAGAGGTGAGGGGTGTGTGCATGAGTAGGGGGACCACTCCACAGAGGGCCGCAGGGTGGGGTGGAGGTGGGGCTGAGAAAAGCCTAGGCCACCCCTGCTCTCGGTGGGGGCTGTTCAGCCTGGAAACGGCTGAAACCCCGTGTGACCACGGGCCAGACTGAGGACAGAGGACGGAGCTCCGGAGCCTGGGAGCTGGTCCGCCCTCGCTCTGGCCGGCTCTGCTCACCTGCAGCCACGTCTCCCACCAGCACGCTCTCTCCGTGGCCGCCCGCTCGGCCTGCTCAGCCACCCGCAGGAGCAGCTTCTCCTCCGCGCTGTCTGCTTCCGGCTTTGTCCACGGCCCACCTGGCCCCCAGGGCTGACAGGACCCCTTCCTGGGGCTCTCTGGGTCCCGGTCACTGTGCAGATGGAGAGGCCATGCAGAGGCCTCGGGGAGGTTTGGCATGGCTTCCCGGGACGGATGTACCTGCTCTTCCTGGTTTGGTTCTATGGTCACCCTCTGGTCCCTCAAAGGGCAGGCTATAGGGTTCAGGGACTCGTCACCGGGGCTCCGCAGCCGGTGTGGGGCTACGAAGACATGTGCCTTCTGCCCGCCCTGCCTCAGCCCCTGGACGGTGCCCACCGCTCCCAACCTGAGGTCAGAGAGAAACAAAATGCGTCACCAGGCAGGAAGAGAGCGGCACGGCTCCCTTAGCGGGTCAGGGACACCAAGAACGACAGAGGCCCTGCTGTGTGTCGGCACGGTCCGGAAGGTCAGAGTAACTGACCCCACTTCATGGAACTTCAAGTGCGGAGACGCCAAGAAGCTTGTCCACAGCAGAGTCAGTGTCAAAGCCCAGGCTCTACCCCTGAGGACAGGACAGATGTGTCCCCGGCACTCCCTCGGGCAGCCATGCAGAATTCTGCACAGACAGTGCAAAGCCCCTTGTTCAAGCTGCATCATTCCAACTGCGTCTTACAAGAAAACAGGAAAGGACACAATCCCTTGACCCCATCTAGTGCCGAAAACCATGGGATTCTACGGACTTTCACACGCGCTCCTGTGAAGGAATCAGAAAGGTCCTCGGGAAGACTGACAGGATAAGCAGCCCACAGCGAACACCGAGGCTCCAGTGAGCCCCGCACTGGGGCCACTCAGGGAGCTCCAGCCGAACCCCATCTCCTTGGGGGACAGCTCTCACCTCACATCTCCTTCTCAAGGTGCAGTCCCCTGAACAGCACAGAAAACCCACTGGCCTTTTTTCTTTCACTTTCCCAGGACTGGTGGTGAAACAGAGAAGGGGCATTAGACGCTGGCATTAGCTGGATTGCTGAAAAGGAGGCACAGCCGCTGCGCGAGATGTCAGGTGGGGACCATCCCCTTCCCTCAGCCTGCCGGTCCCCCACACAGCATTGCTGGGGTGCTAGGGAGAGGCCCTGGTCCAGATTGTTAAGCCACCGTCTGGTCTGGGGACGGAAGTGCCGCCGCCGCAGGCCCCTGGAAACTCCCAGCACACTTGGCACACCCACACCCCTCAGCGGGGAAGGTGGTGGCCCTGTCGACCCGCCCTTCCCAAATGCGAATGCCCCGAGGGAGCCTGTCGCCATCTTCCCGTCCTCGTGGAGCACCCAGTGTCTGGGACCCAAATCCAGCGTCCGCAGCTCCCCACAGCAGTCCTGGGACCAAGAGCCCCAACGCCCCTGCCAGGCTCTGTGGAGCAGCCAGCAGCCCGGGCTCCCACTGCTGGCGTCTGGGGCCCTCCGGCCAGGCCAGTGAGGCATCCCACAGGCAGGCAGGAGCAGAACTGTGCACCGTCGCGGGGACGGTTCACTCCCGCAGGCTGGGGCCGAGGGGTTCCCATCCACCGGGCAGGGGCTGCGGAGGCCTGAAGCCCCTTGGCCCCGAAACGTCTCCTCTGGGATCCCCGCTTTCTCAACACCGGCCAGAGGCCCCCCACGGTGGCCAAAGAGGTGGGTACCCCGGTCCACACCCCGGACACCCAGGTTTTCTCCCAATTCAATGCCCGCCGGCCTGCTTCAGGCTGGGGAATGCGGGACAAATACCCTGCATTTGCCTCCGTCCCTGCAAGCTCGACACCCAGCTGTCCCACTCACCCGCGGTGCACTGAGAACAGGGACTGTGGGGTGGGGGGGCAGTGCCCACGTGCCCAGCGCCGGCGGCCCCGCTCTCCCAGCCAGGTTTCACCGTCGCGCTCCCTGCCCGGGGGCCCAGCCACGGCTGTGGACCCACCAAGGTCAAAAGAGCTCAGTCCGAGCAGTCAGAAAGGAAGAGAGCCCCACCCCCTCACCAGCCCACCCTCCGACCCATAGCAACCGCAGGTCCCACCTAGCACCGGGATCTGGATTTACTCCCAATCGTAATTTGCTCTTGAAAAAAGAGGATTATCTCCGATTAAAACTCACAACCTCCAATCACAGCGTCTAGAGCCAAAACAAGACCCGCGGGGCCCCAGAGGGGAGGTGGAGGCACTCAGCATCTTAGAAAGCGAAGGCAAGGGGGAGATTCCACCCCTTGACCGAAATGCTGCAGGTAAGGGAGCGCAGGGAGGGCCCGGCCCCTAACCCTCACTCAGTTCAACCTGGCTCAGTGATTTTTTTTTTTAAATTTTATTTATTTGACACGGGGTGGGGAGCAGAGCGGGCACACGCCGGTGGAGCAGCAGGCAGAGGCCGACGCAGACACCTCACTGAGCAGGAGCCCGACATGGGGCTCCGTCCCAGAACCCCGGATCATGACTGAGCCGAAGGCAGCAGCTTCCCCAATGAGCCCAGGCTCGGTGATGTACATCGATCTTTAATCAGTCCAATGGGTATCACGTTTATTGTTTTCCATGTAATTTGCAGTTGATGTGAGAAACAAAAGAAAAAAAACTAAATTTCCTTACTGCGTACAGCCCAGTGACCTGACCTTGAAACAGGCAAGGGAGCTTCCTCTGGGACACTTTGCTAAGGGTAAAAGGCAGCCTTAGCCCGACCCCAGAATCCTGTGAGTCTACTTTAAACATACGGAAATTCCTTTGGTAAGTTCCTTTATCTCTCCTCCCAAAATGTATGGTAGCCATCATCCCCCAAGCCTGTGGGCCCTGATAGACATCTGAAGGGTCTCATGATGGAGTTTTTACTAAACAGTAATAAACGCCCTTTCCTGACAATAGCTAGCTCCCTCAGAGTCCTGGAAAACTTGCTTCAGAATCACCTTGGAGGCTTGTGGCTGTCTCTGACCCCCTCCCAACTTGAAAATATGTGATGGGCCACTGTCCCAGTGCAGCTCTTTCTGCCCACGGGTCCTGTCCCCGGGCTTTAATAAAATCACTTTTTTTGCATGACGACGTCTCAAGAATTCTCTCCTGGCCATTGGCTCCAAACCCCAGCATTCCCAGCTCAGGACTTACCCACATTCCACTTTGTGTTATGATCACCCTTTATGTTTCACAATGGCATGGGGTTTTACAATTTACAAAATAGGTTTGCAAACATGCCCTATGTTGAGACTTGTTATTCTGTCTGTGCAAGTAGGAAACAGTCCCTGGGATACTGAGCCTTCCCAATCCAGGTCTGGAACTTAGCAACAACCAGGGCACCATTTTGGCAGTCGTCTTTGAGGATTTAATGGAAGCCATGTTTACAAAGTATTTCCTCCCTCCCTCCCTCTTTCCTTCCTTCTTTTCTCTTTCATTAAGACTTTATTTATCCATTTGGCAGAGAGAGAGAGAGACCACGAGCAGGGGGAGTGGCAGGCCGAGGGAGAAGCAGGCTCCATGAGTGGGAAGCCCAATGCAGGGCTCCATCCCAGCACCCTGAGATCATGACCTGATCTCAGGCAAAGGCAGACACCCAACCAACGGAGCCACCCAGGTGCTCCAACGAAAGTATTTTGTGAATTGTAAAACCCCTGCCAGTTTCCTGGTCCTTGATCTAGAACCATTACCCCAAGTCTTTCTCGTTCAGAGGCTACAAAATAGAAGACCCCTGCTCCACTGTAACAGTGTGCCAGGCTGTGGCAAGCACTTGGTCACTGGGGCTACCGTTGGAAGAGCTCATCTAGAGGACATGACCACCCGCTGACCCAAGAGCAGGCCCCTGGCGGTCCTCCTCTCTCCCTCCCTGTCCTTGGAGTATACCCTGCACCCACCATTTTCACAGTGGGAGGTGTTTCAAGGACACGGTCTTGAGAGAGTAAGCTGTTGTGGAGACCCTCTGGATTGAACACCTAACTCAACCCAGTCAAGGCCTCTCCATAAACTTTTAGGATTGTGGTGGGCAGGTGCAGACACCTGTCTCATGACCACCCACAGCAAGGGTAATACGTGAGCTTCCTTGCTTACTAAAACTGCCACGTACCGATCAGGAGTGGTCTGCCTTTCTCTTGAGTCTCTCCTTGCCCTCCACATACGGGCCAGTTTGGGGTTTCCCATGGGGCATCTCCTGCAGTTCCAAAGCAGCAGCTGCAAGTGGCTGCGGTGGCTAGTTTTGCTGGTGAAAACCGCTGACGGAGGGAGGCAGCCTGAGCTCGCTGGCACCCTCGGTTCTAGACCCACCGCCTTCCTGAAACGGATGCTGGGTGTCTTTGGAAAGCAGCTTTAGCTTGTTCCTGGGCTCCCGACCCAACGAAGCCTTCGGACATTCTGCCCGCACAGCCACAGTGGAGGGTGGGCCAGCTTGGACTCAACATCTCACAAAGTGGGGAGGAGCCAACAGGCCTTGCTTGTGACGTGGAAAGGGCACCCTTAAGGATGCAGCTGGCCCCGGCATCTCGGTTCACATGGAGAAGTGGCAGCTGTCCCTTTGGGGACGGTGTTAACCCCCACTTTGCTGTCTGGAGCAAAGCTGCTTGTTCAGCCGGGCTCCCCGGGCCCTGGTCCTGGATCACTGTGGGCCAGCAGGCTGAGTGTTGTCTCAGGTCCAAGCCAACGCGCAGTCCCAGAGGCCGCTGTTCAGAACCAGAAATGGAGGCTTCCATGATCTTCACTGGGCAGAACCCAGGGCGGTTTTCACGGCTATCCCCAACCCTCCCCTTGATCAACCTTCCTGTCATTTTATGGACTCCTGGGCTGTCCCAGCTGTGTGGTCTCCACTTGGAAAACTAGACTGCACAGACACCTCTCTCTGGAGCTGCAAACCAGAAATAAACCCAGCTGCTGACCTGCCCTCTGTCCCTTGGGTGGATGCCTCTCGGAGCAGCCCACTCTCCGCTGAGCCAGATGGGAGCCAGTCTGCTGAGGGAGCCTGCTTTGGGCAGGTTCCCTCTCCACCGCCTGGCTCCATCATCATCCCAGACCCGGCAGGACGTTCACCATCACAGACTGGCACCCAAGGAAGGGTTTGGTCTCTGATCTGGACTCCCGACCTGCTTGTAGTACAGGGAGGGAAGCCCCATAGCAAGGGGCCCCGGGCACGCCTGCTCCGGTGGGCTGGTGCATGGGACCTCCCACCCTCTCTAGGACCTGTGAGTGCTGACACTTTTAGGGCACAGTGCGGCTATGCTGGTCCAATCAGCCGACCCCACAGTAGCATGGTGGCCCTGGAAACTAATCTGTGCGGTGCTTCTGGCTTTCCAGACCGTTCTGGTCTGACAATGGCCTGCCTTCCGTTGCAAAGCCTGTCAACAATGGGCTGACAGTCAAGGTAATTACTGGATCTTTCATGCTTCCTACCACCATTCAGAGACTGAACAGCCCACACACCTTTGTGAGGCAGCCTGGCCGCCCTTGGATGCTACCACTGCCTGCCCCCCACAAGGATCATCTCTTGGCTACCTCCTAATGATCGGGATAGCAGGTCATATGGACCTATTTTGGAAATTCCTGGACATAGTGTTTCTTTCTTTTCCCTAATAGCCTAACAATACCCCCAGGCTGGCCTGGCTGGTACCTCCTGTTGGGAGCCATCCAGCCAAAATGGGAGGGGGGCAGTGGTAAGAAAGTCGAACTTAATTCGGGCCCAGCTACCTGGATTCCCAGATTTACTCAGTCCTAGATTATAAGAGGAATGACCACCTGATTAAGGACGCTGCCCACTAAGTCCCAAGTCCCACGCAGCCCAAAGCGGGGTATGTAATGGCTTTCTGTGTATTTTGTAAAAAGGTTCTTGTCCCTGCTGTTGAAACAGGGAAGGATTCTGATCGGTGTCATGGGACACACGTGCCAACCACCAGCTACACTGATGTCCATCACTGTGCCAAGAAGATAGGGTGCTATGGTTGTCTGTGA